TACAAATAATCTACCTACTATGCAAAATCTTAAAATCCAATACCCTAATCTTTATACAACAGATGGCTGTTGTAAATATTCCGCAATAGAAAACACTCTTCACATACTTCAATGTTCAAAAAATAATGAAAATATTCGACAATTACTTCTTAATATAACCTCAAACACATTAAATCAGCTCTACTCTATCAATTACAATTCTTAATACTCTTTCACAAGCTACATTTGATTCTATAAATCTTCAATATAATTTTCTACTCTTTACTATTCTCAGTATCTACTTAAAACCAATTTATTATACTCTTAAAACTCTACTAAAAAAACAAACTGAATCGTTTGTGATTAGTCTTTCAAACAATCTCTTTAAATGGTTTTATCATAAAATATGACCTCAACAAAATATACATCAACACCAATAGAAATTAGCCTGAAATATTACTAATAAAACTAAATATACCAAATTTTCTCTGCCACTCATTACCAATCGATCAAGCACAAAAATATCTACTACTTAACTACCAAATTCATGCTCTTTTATTGAAAAATGGTACTTATAAGGTTTTTCTCTAACAACATGCATTATGTAATATCATGATATACATCTTAGGGTTTTCTCCAACCTATCCTAGCTAGATTTATTTTATTCATTTAAACTAATAATAGCACTAAAATAGAAAATAGAAGATGTAATATCACATTGGGTGCTTGGTAGTACAAGTGTACATTACCAAAAAAAAATATACGTAAACCTCCGTAAATAATTACACATCGTAAATCTTTCGAAAACTTACGATTAGTACGGAATATTACGTAAGGGTAAGATTTATGAAAATTTATATTATAGTAATTACGTAATACTACGAAGGCAAAATTACAAACCTACGAAAAAATATGCAAACTTGCGGAGGCAAAATTATGCAAACCTACGTAAGTCTACGAAAATTTGTACAAATTTACAAAATAATGCATTTGCATCATGATGCATCTTTATTATATGCCCGATCAATTTATTTTGCAAAATCAATTTTAACTTTTTTATATAATTATGATTTCATAATAACAATTTTTTATTATTTTTAGCATGATCAATTACAAAGAAAAAAAAAAATTCAACTACTAACTCTAACCACAAACCAACTACAACAACTATGACTATAATCGCTAATACATAATAAACATTTTCAATACACTGTAGCATCCAAGGCCACCTACAAATGACGTTTATAACAAGCTCCAGTAACAACAAAGCGAAGGCTTAAATGAAGAAAGCACAAGACGCACCAACAGAGGTCTCAATAAAGGCACCAAAGTGGTAAAATAAACAACAAGAGTAACATCGAAGCGACGACAAAAACTTCTGCAATCTATCAGAGAAAGTTTCGAACCAAAGCGACCTACTAGTTGTTCTAACGAAGCTAGAAAAAGATTAGTTCAAGAAAAAAGAAGCAAACAAGAGAAAAAAAAAAAAACAAGAAAAAGAAACTACTTATCTTATAAGATCAAGACAAGCGATGAAGGCCCCAACAAAGATACCAAGCGATATATCTGTTTCAGCGAAGCTAAACCTAGAAAATGAAAGAATTAATTTAAGAAAAAAAAAAGAAGTAAACAAAAAAAGAAAAACCACTAATTTATAACACTAAAGACTCCAATAATGATACCGAACCAATATACTTGTTTCAGCAAACCAAACAGTGAAGCTTAAAATCGCTAACGAAACCTGAAGTTTCTACAAACGACAACCAGAATCTTCATACTATAGACGACAAGTTCGAAACAAAGAAAGCCCAGAATCTCCATAATGATAGCGCCAAAGAACGAAATCCCAAAATCTCCATACTTCATTAACGACGATGCTACTACTAACTAAGCCTACAAAAGAAAAAAAGTTATTAGTTCAATAAAAAAGAAAAAGCAAATGACAAAGCTACTTATCTGTTATTTTACAAGCTCTGGTTCTAAATTCGCAAGAACCCCCTCCTACCTAGCGAAGCAAACTTGCAAAATAAGAAAGTGTTTATAAAAAAAAAACAAAACAGGTAAACAACAAAAAAAAAACAAAATCCTAAACAAAGAGAAAAAAAAAAAAAAAAAATCATTTATAAGTTCTGTTATAATCACTACCCAGTTCCAGTGAAAAAAAAGAAGAAGGTTAGGAAAACAAAAAACAAAAAAAAATAGGATGATCTAAAAATCTAAATCTAGATCGTATATCAAATATGTAATTTAATAAGATCAG